CCAAACAGCTCAAGGCTTTGGGCGTCGATCTCTCTCTCTCTCTCTCTCTCTCTCTCTCTCTCGTAAATAAAATCCATAACAAAATACTCGCCATTAGTTTAGTAGTCAAGCAGTTATTGTTCATAGAAAACACTGACCGCACGTATAAACAGCAATCATAAGTGCATTTTTTACACAAATCTAACAATTATTAATTAACCAAAATGACTGATGGTTACAAATACATGTACGTAACTTACCATGATAAGCGCAATATACGGGACATTGCTATAGCCATACCACCCAATGTCTTGACGGCCAAACATCTCAAGTATTTACTCCAGACAAATGGTTTGTTCAATCCGATGAGCGAGGTGCTTTTGTTCACTGATAGTTGCAATGTGCGCGATGTGGCCTACCCCGATGATTATAAATTTGCCGATTTATACAATACTAATAAACATCGCTATATATTCATTACGAAAAGAGCTGAACCATACGTGAACTCACAAACATCAGGGTCTGTATTGTTTGGTCGCTTAGTTATCATTGTATTAGAAAATAATATTAATTTATAAAATGTTTGTTCAAAACTATAGTCTGAGTGAAGAGTCGGACCGAAAGTGTCGTGAATTGTGTGAAGAGATGTCGGCTCTGAAGGCAAGCAATGAGTCCGAAGTGNATACGTGAACTCACAAACATCAGGGTCTGTATTGTTTGGTCGCTTAGTTATCATTGTATTAGAAAATAATATTAATTTATAAAATGTTTGTTCAAAACTATAGTCTGAGTGAAGAGTCGGACCGAAAGTGTCGTGAATTGTGTGAAGAGATGTCGGCTCTGAAGGCAAGCAATGAGTCCGAAGTGAAGGCATTGGAAGCACAGCTCAAGTCATCCAACGATACAATGCAGACAATGAATGAAGAGATGAATTATTTGAGACAAAAATTCTTGACTTCCGATAAAAAGTTTGATCTAGTTTGAATGTTTTGTCTAAATTTTAAATCTAATTTAATAACTATTTTTAATTATAGATTCAGTGAAATGGCGATAAAAAATACTGAATTAAGTATAGAGTTGTCGGCTGTGAAGGCATCGAAACATATCATTGAATCTGATGTCAAACAATTGCCACAAGAAGTGAATGCACAGAATATTAGGTTTGATTTTAATTGCAATTTTACAGTAAAAACTCATGATTTATTAATTTGTATTTTTATATCAAACAGTTGTTCAGCGAGTGTTCCACAGGACATGTCCTCCAGTTCTTCATCCATCAGTTCCAACAATCAATTGACCACTAATTCAGACAAAATCAGTGATGAGATCACTAGTAAAGAGATATTGATTGAAATAAAGGATCAATTCAAATATATAAACAATATGACATATAAAATTTTAGACCAATACAATAGGATGTTTGAAATGGTCAATGGAATAGCACATGCCGTCGGGCACATCGCTGCAAATACTCCCATAATCAAATCGTAAATATAACATGTAATATTTTATATCACACCTGTAAACAATGCTTAAACTATGTTTACAAACTAGTTTATCTGTCAATTATGCTACTTAACAATTGCCATTGATTTATAAATAGTGGACAACAAATAATGTCATTTGAATAATAAATATTAAAGCTAAAATAAAATATATTAATAATATTGAAATAATAATTACATTTTCATCAATTAATAATTCTCAAATCAATAAATTACATCAAATTTTCATCAAACTTTATTGTATTTTTAAAATTAAAAATCTTGATACCAAATATAATACATAACTATATTATTTTAAATATTGCTGATTTAATACTATTACTGTAACATGAATTGAATACAGAAAATAATTAGCAAAAGTAATACATACTAAATAAATAACTGTTATTTAATAACAATTAAGTTACAAAATTTGGTAAATTTATTGACACATTTATGTTCATTATTATGGGTTTCCATATTATGTTTAGTTAAATCAGATTTGGTGTCAAAACTTTCATTACAATCATTGAAATGACAAACAAATGATTTTTCGCCCAAATGTATGCTTTTGTTATGAATAGGATTTTGATTTGGTTTCATATTTTTGCCGCAATTTTCTTCATTAGTTTTAGGTTTTGTTTGATTCAAATGAAAACTACTTTTATGTGAATTTAGTCTCTGTTTTGTTGTGAATTTTTTGCCACAATATTCTTCATTACAATTAAATAACTTTTCATTCAAATGAACACATTTTTTGTGTTGAAATAGATATCGTTTTGTTGTAAAACTTTTGTGACATTCACTGAAATCACAAATAAATTTCTTTTGTAAATGAATTATATTTTTGTGATTAATTAATTGTGTTTTCCATTTATAACTTTTATTACAATTAGTAAAATCACATTTAAATGGTTTTATTGATGAATGCTTTGATTGATGTATTTTAAAACTCCATTTCTTGCTTGTCTTGTACTCACATTTAGGCCAAAAACAGTGAAAATAATCATCAGATTT